TCGATAAGTCACAGCAATAATGCCCCCATGAGCGCTAGAAGTACACTCCGGGTACGTTATACCATGCACCCCTTCGGGTTGCACAACTTACAAAACACTCTGCTCACCTAAGCTCCCAGATACACGAAGAGTTGTACACACACACACTGTTACTAATTGGTATATGTATGATATGACCTTTCTCCTTGTTTACGGTATATGACACATTCATCACCCAGACAGAGCTATGGTTCCGAAACCAGTAACAGCCCCATGCAAGAACTGAGAACTACATTTAGCCAATATCTCTGCTTATAATGTTGTCAACAATACGGTCTGCGCACCGAATACTGCAATGTTGAGCACTACTGCTTGTTGTTGTTTTTTTTTGTGATGACAAAATAAAAACATTTATATCGGGAAAAAAATAAATAAATCATAAAATAAAAATGTAAAACATTATTTTTAAAAATTGAAAAATGCTCCCCCCACACGCATATTATTAAACATGTGCGAAGACTAAAAATTAATTTAAGATGAAACAAAAAAAAAAGATTATAGCAGAAAATGGTTAAAAGGTACCTAACCCCAAAATTATTTTTCAGTATGATTGACATTTTGTTCTCACTGTGTAAAGCTTTTGTAAGCAATCTTTTTTTTTTTTTTTTTTTTTGTGAATCTGTTGCAAAGTTCCTTAACTTGAATGCAAAAGCATTCTTCCCACTGACCGCCAGTATAAAGAGGCCATTCTCCCACTGACCACCAGTATAATGGGAACCCTTTTTCCCACTGACAAACAGTGTAATGAGACTTTTTCACACTGACCACAAGTATAATGAGGCCCTGCTCTCACTGACAAACAGTGTAATGAGACCATTTTCCCACTGACCACCAGTGTAATGAGGCCCTTCTGTCACTGACCACCAGTGTAATAAGACCCTTTTTCCACTGACCACCAGTGTAATGGGACCCTTTTCCCACTAAACCACCAGTGTGATGGGTCCCTTCTCCCACTGACCACCAGTGTAATGGGTCCCATTTCTCACTGACCACCGACATAATAGGACCCTTTTCCTACTAAACTACCAGTGAAATTGGACCCCTTTCCTACTGACCGCTGGTGTAATAGGCCGTTTTTTCCACTTATCACCAGTGTAATGTGGCTCATTTCCCACGGACCACCATTGTAATGAGCCCCTTTTCCCATTGACCACCATTGTAATGGGCCCCTTTTCCCACTTACCACCAGTGTAATGGGCCCCTCTCCCTATGACTATATTGTAAGAGGGCCCTTTTCCTAATGACCACCAATGTAGGGTGGTCCTTCTCTCACTGACCACCAATCTAGGAGAGCAGCCTTGGATTTCTAATACTTTAAATAGGCCACATTCCTTATTCTCTTATTTCTTGTTAGACCTCCATTTACTGTTCATGCCAATGTACCCTGAGTTGTAGATAACGGAATTATTAGCAGGGGCTTCCTAAGACCCAACAATTATTTCAAGGGTTCCTCTATGTTAAAGGTTGTGAATCGCTGAACCAAGCTCACTGTTTTAACTCCATCAATACCGACATGTTTTTTTCATGTCCCAAAAATTGTAGGAAAAACCAGATCACCATGGAGTGTCTACTTTCCAAAAAGGGGTCATTTGGTGGGTTTTCAGTGTCCTGATTTTTATTGGCAATGTTTTATAACAGAAAGTATGAGAAACAAGCTTTTTTCCCCCATATTTTTAGTCTTTTTTCCCCTTTATTTAGTAAAAAAAAAAAAAAGAAGGTTATTAATTGTTTTTAGCCTTTGCTGTGGGCCTACCCCCGCACTGCAAGGGTTACGTGCTCATTTTTGTCTAGGTGCTAAAAAAAAAAAAAAAGGTTATACTGACCTGATCTTAGGAGCCGGCTTGCTCTTAGACCGGTCCCTGGAGCCTCTCTCCCCCTCCTCTGCAGCGGTCATACACTATACACTGTATATAGGAAGTGAGGACACCAAGGGACATACCATCGCTGCAGCAGAGGAGGATGCAGGCTTCAGGGACCAGAGTAGCAGCCAGCAGGCTCTGTGGTTCAGGTGAATTTTTTTAGCACCTAGACACAAATGAGCACCTAACCCTTGCAGTTACGGGAGTAGGCCCACTACAAGGGTTAAGAACATGTTTGCTCTGGGTTCTGCATACATACCATGAAACGAAGATTTATATGTTTCAAAAATGATATCAAATGTATTTGGATATAATTTTGCAGGACTGAACTTACAAATGGCCTGCTACAATATGTGCGGCTGGGTCTGCATGTAATCACACATGAAACAATTACCTGCGGTTCGGGATAGATGATTGTTCCTGGACGCAGACAGATTTCATCCAGGAGCAATCATGTTTACCGAACCGCAGGTAATAGTTTCATTTATAAAGGAAAGCCCCATATGGGGCCGAATGGGGCCTCAAATGCCAGCACTTAAGTGGTTAAAAGACACACAAAAATGACAGAATGAAAACAAAGTGATGATGAGGAATAGTGACCAATTTCTCTGATTGTCATGCTACATATTGAGGGGAATTTGTAAAAACTGGAGCAGACAGAATTGGGGGCAGTTGCTCATAGTAACGAATCAGCTTCTCTCTTTCATTTTAAAAGCTTAACTGAACAAACTGAAGAGAGAAGCTGATTGGTTACTATGGGCAACTGCTCCAGATTCTGTTTGCTCCAATTTTCATGAATTGCCCCTGATGAGGGGGAGACTGGAGCAGTCAGAATTCGGAGCAGTTGCACATAGTAACAATCCACTTCTGTATTTTATTTACAAAGCCTAACTGCACAAACTGAATAAAGATGCTGATTAGTTACTATGGGCAACTGATCCAGATTCCATCATCTTCAGTTTTAATAAATTCCCCCAATGAGGGTGAAATGGAAGCAGACCAAATCTGGAGCAGGTGCCCATGGCAACCAATCAGCTTCTATCTTTCATTTTCAAAGCTTAACTGAGCAAGCCGAGGAGAGATGCTGATTGGTTACTATGGGCAACTGCTCCAGATTCTGTTTGTTCCAGTTTTTATAAATTCCCACCAATTAGGGGGAAACCGGAGCCCACAGGATCTGGAGCAGTTGCCCATAGCAACCAATCAGCTATGACATGACAAGCTGGAACGGATTTAAAGGGCTGTTAAAAGGACACTTGTCTTGGGATCGACTGATGAATAAATGAAAACTGGAGCAGTGGGGCATAGTGACCAATCAGCTTCTAGCATCAGCTTGTTCAGTTAAAGGAGAACTATGAGGTGAGTGATTTTCACTCATCCTCATAGTTAAAGCCGACGTATGACAATGAAACTGTCACACGTCGGCTCTATTGATTGGGAAGTGAGTGAACACATACCGTCACTCGCTCACTTTCCAATCATATCTGCAGAGACTGGTGACTGTCAGCCACGACTCCCTGCAGGGATTCCCCCCTCCCCTCTCTGATCCTCCAGCGCTGAGTGGAGGAACGAACAGGGGAGGGGGCGGGTACAGCTGACTCTGCCTCTAGATAGGCAGAGCCCACTGTCACTCACGCAGCTGAGTGACAGCTGCGTGAGTGACAACATTATTGTCAGGATCTGTCCTGGCTGCGGCACTCTCAGCATATAGCGGACAATAGCTCACTATATCCTGAGCTTTGGGTCATGGGAGGAGGTTAGTATATGTCCTCTGGACACCGTAAAGAGAACTATGAGATCAAAAGGTTACCCTATAGTTCTCTTTCAGGGCCCAGTCACACTATCAAGAATGCGTTTAGCCTCTGGAATGCAACACGGCCGCCTCACTTTGTTTTGGGGCGGGACGGTGCATTGAACTCAACGGCACAGCGGCCACACCCCCCGCCCGCGGTGCGATTGCCGGCACCCGAACACGTGGCACATTAGCGCCTGCGTTCCGATCCAGTGCGATCTGCAAAAAAAAGCTGCATGCACTATTTTTTGTAGATCACACTGGACCAGAACGCAGGCACTGATGTGCCACGCGTTCAGGTGTCGGGCAATCGCACCATCGGCGGGGGGGATGGCTGTGGTGCCATTGAGTTCAATGCACCGCCACGCCTCCTCCTACCCCAAAACAAAGTGAGCCCCGGCCGTGTTACGTTCCAGAGGCCGAACGCACTCTTGATGGTGTGACTGGGCCCTTAAGCTTTGAAAATTAAAGAAATATGCTGATTGGTTACTATGGGCAACTGCTCCAGATTCTGTCTGCTCTAGTTTGCCCCTCATTTGGGGGAATTCATGAAAGGTGGAGCAGACAGAATCTGGAACAGTTGCTCATAGTAACCAATCAACTTCTCTCTTTCATTTTCAAAGCTTAACTGAACAAACTTATGAGAGAAGCTGATTGGTGACTATGTGCAACTGCTCCAGATTCTGTCCCTCATTGGTGGAAATTGATCAGAAATGCAGCAGACAAAATCTGGAGCAATTGCCTGTAGTGACCAATCAGCTTCCCTCATCAGTTTGCTCAGTTAAGCTTTGAAAATGAAAGAGAGAAAATGATTGGCCACTATGAGTACCTGCTCCAGTATCGGTTTGTTCCAGTTTTGATAAATGGCCACCAATGAGGTGGAAACTGGAGCAAAGAGACTCTGGAGCAGTTGCCCATAGTAACCAATCAGCTTCTTTCTTTCATTTTTTAAAGGTGAAGCTAGAATCTGATTAGTCACTCTGCCCAGTTCCTCCAGTTTGAATGACTCCGAATGTCCCTTTAACAGCCCTTTAAAGCCATTCCAGGTTGTCATGTCATATTCCTGGTGCAAACTGACTGGCAGATGGTTTATCCTGAATGTGATGGATCGTGCGTGACCCGGAGCACAAGGAAAAGGCCAGGCTGTGTGTTTGCTCACCTAGGACAGGCAGAAAGGAATTCCAGAAGAATGAGAAAGTTGCAGGCAGTGGGGATGGATTTCTCTCTCTCTCTCGGTGGGTCGGGATGTGGGAGGGAATACAGGAGGTGCTATGTAAGGGGGAAGGAGGCGGCTCAGCTTGGGACTCCACATCGGAGAGTGTCTGTTCTCTGCAGCGTGGCTCCGGAGCTGTGATGGCTCTACTAGAGTGATCGGAGTTTGGTACCTCTCCTAGATCTGGAGCCTGGCGATCACCGACACGATTTCTTACAGCTCCACACACACGAGGATCTGACAGCTCACAGCCTGGGACCGATCTACAAGTCATGGCCACTTCCCCATGCAGCAGCAGTGGGGTCTCCTCTTCATCCTCCTCTGGCTTCAGCATGGACACCGGCTTGGAGATCAAAACCAAATCAGTGGAGCAGACCCTTGTCCCCCTGGTGTCTCAGGTAATGACAAGAAGGATGTGATCTGACCCATCTGACAGTGCATTGGTAACTCTATTATGTGTATGTGACAATACACCTGGGGAGCAATCTGATCAGGTCACGTGAGCTCTCTTTTACAATCACTCTATTGCTGACAGTTGACCTGCTTTTATTATCGTTGTTGTTATTATTATATGGGATAGCGCCAACAGTTGGTGCAGCGCTTTACAAAATAAAGGGATACCATACAGGAGGGCCCTGATCAGGAAAGCTTACAATCTAAAAGGAGGGGCTTTTCTAGCAAGTGTTACCAAGTGCCTGCTTAGAGGGACCTGCTAAGCTCTTGCATGCATTGTACTGTGTAGTGGTGTAGAATGTTATTGTTGATGGTGGGGGGGAGTAGAGCTCAGTTTAGAGGGCTGACACATGACCACAGTATAAATAAATAATCGTGTTGTGCCTGTGGAGCATAGCCCTGGGGTATGGTTTATTGGAAACATATGTACAGCTTAATTTTGTTTGACTGTGCTGTGATCTGATACATGATGTGACTGGCAGGCTTGACCGGTGTTCTTCTATCTTGTGTTGGAGCTAGAAGTATGATGATGCCCATGTAAGACATGAAATGCAGGTTCATGTAATTTTCATAGTGGGAATCTGGAATTAGAAGTGTAAGCTCTTGCTGCATCTGCAGTTGTCATGTGTAACATAGTATTGTCACGGATTCAGCTGCATTATACGTCTTTATAAGGTGTTCCAGCATCGCTGCATGGAAATGTTTACAGTCTGAAGCTGCATCTTGCGCAGGGTTCTTGTATGTCTGCCTTGTGATATTAGAAACCCACAACACTTTATATAAATACCTTTTTTATATAAGCTTGCCAGCTAGACTTTACTAGGTATCAGTTTTTGTCTTGTAATGTGTATTTGTTTTAGTAGAAATCATCATGTTCGCCTTTTTCATAATGTTTTTACTATGGGGGGAAGCCCTGAAGATAAGTTTTCAGATCTTAGAGAACCCCCGCTAAAATTTATTAGACTTGCAACTCATGGTATCAGCGTGACCAGTCCGTTGTAGAGCCATAATAATGAAACAAATAACATGTTGGCGGGTCAGTGTGGAAGTGACCCCATGCTGTGTGAGGCTCTGTCTAGGAAGGGGATCGATCTGCCACTGGTCTCTTAATGAAATTCTTGCAACATCTTAAAGACCTCCAGTGTTGTAGTTTCATAATAAGAATGGCCAGTAAAGAAATGCACACAGTAAGAATTGTAGAGACCCCTGCTGTTGGCGGGTCAGTGTGGAAGTGGCCCCTGCTGTTGGCGGCCAGTCTAGGAAGGGGCCCTATCGGCCACTGGTCTGTTCTCAAGGAAATTCTGGCAACCTCTGAAAGACCTTCCAGGTTCCATGGAACCCTGGTTGAGAAGGTCTGGGTTAAGGTATTTAATTTTCTACTGCAGAAAAGCCACTGATGTATAATACATCTTATATTTAGTCATAACATCAAGTGAATACATTAGTTAAACATGCATTAATTATAGCATAAGTGGTGGACTATGTGGGCTGTGCAGCCTGACAAAAAGCTGTCAAGCGTTATTTATTGCCTAGTATATATCGACAACATATTATGCAGAACTTTACGGTCAGCCCCAACCCCAGAGGAGCCTTCAGTCAGAAGTCCCTGCTAAACTTGTACAGGAAAGTAATACACTTTAGAAACAGTTTTAAATTGGAAACAATTCTTTCAATAATCCTAGAGTTGTGAATTGAAATTCCTTGTAAGTAAAACCTACATATCCATATAGATATTCTGTCTGATGAAAATTGAACCAAGGACCTTGGTGCTTGTGTCAGGAGCATGTCTACTGGAGTATTATCAAACAAGTGTGAACATGTCAGCAAGCCCATGGAGTTGCAATAAATTATTTACTGGAAAGATATAAATCCACTGCGTATACTGTATATGATGCTTATGGACTGTCTAATTGTCCTTTTTGTTCCTTGTTGATTTGTCATAAACAGGAACATTAACCGTGTTGTAGAGTTATTACCTTAGACATGACTTAAAGATAAGAGGAAACTAGATTTTTATTGCTTCGAATAAACCCATTCAATTCTAGATTTATAGTCAGGACAGGTTGCGCTTTGTGTTTCTGTATTGAAAAGTAAAAACAAAAATCCATTACTTGCGTTATGGACCAGAATTCTTCCACGGGAACCTGCCTTTTCCAAAAAGTCCAAGTTTTTGTTTTGTGTTTACAAGCGATTTTATTCAGTCTCATGAACAGGAGAAACTTGTGACATCCTTTTATGTACTGCTGTGTTCAGAGAAAATAAATTCCCATGTTCTTTACTACTCTTACTTATGACTTGGCAAATGTTTTCATTAAGAAGGGAGTAGTTGGCAGAGGTAAGAAAAATGTCTGCCTTTTTAACTCCAGCCTGTAATAAAAATGCATATTTCTTATTTAAACCTTACATAAACATTTTATTATGGAGCTATCGGGCAGTTAAATCACATCTTAATGGTCTTTAAATGACATTCGCGTCGAGGCCAGCGTTACCTTAAAGAAGTGTTGTGGTTTGCTACATAAAAGCCTATTCATTCCATGCATTTCTTCTTCTTCTTTTTTTTTTTTTAAAGGGAAACTGTTCCATACTTTTGCACTGTAGACACCATTTGGTCGTGTTCAAATGTTGATGTTGTAACAACAGTGGTAGAACAGACTTTCTCAACCATTTTTTTTATTTTCTCATAGAAGAAACCTTGAAATGGTTTTTAGGTCTCACAGATTTGCCTAATTTATTATTTTATGTTTATTACTACTAATAGCCAGAAACCCAAACCGTGAAAAATGAATTGTAGTGACCCTTCACATGGTCTGTTTGGAATTTAACTTTTAAATCGGTGGCATTAATGTATTGCAACGTTGGCAATTTTCCACTGCTCTCTAGCAACCTTAAGGGCAAGTACTGGAACGCACTACGTTGCATGTTGATGCGTTTTTGACGTGTTCAATTACAGGTCTTCCTGGCGGACCTCTGCAAGACCTACAGATAGCCAGGAGAAGAGCAGCACAATGCTTGCACATAAGAAACATGAACTTACCACAGTTGTTCTTTTCAGAGCTGCTCAAATGATCATAGCCAGGGACAACCTGGGTAGCAATGCCTCTCCACTTGTCCATCTTCCTATTATTGTTCTTATATTGCCCATGCCTCGGATCATACAGCTCTGGGCAGGCTTCCACAAGTTCTACAAAGAATTCAGTGTCCACTTCAGCCATCATGGTTCCTATCTTCACAAATCTCTCTCTCCACAGAAGCAGGTCCCAAACCAGCCCAAAAATTTTTTTTTTCCCCATTGTATTGCGTTCCTGTGCGTTTTGGACACGTTTGTGCGTTCCGGTGCATTCCAGACCAGACAAAATGTGACGTGCAGTATTTTTCTGGTATGGTGTAACTGAGGCCAAGAAGAGCATAGGGAAACATTGTTTCTGGACCTAAAATGCATCCCAATCTGGTCTGGTCTGGAGGGGATCTGGAGGTGGTGTGAATGGACCCTTAGAGGAACCCTGGTTGAGAAAGGCTGGTGTAGAGAAAAAAGATCTTGGGTAAGGGGGACAATTTTTTTCAAAGCCAGCTCCATTAACAACAACACAGCTGTAATTTTTAAGGAGCGTTTGGCTACCTGGCTTCTGGGACCTGTCCAACCTTCGTCTAAGTCAAGAGGAAAAAATCTGTGTAAAAATCTTTTTGCGAAATGATTTTATGACTTCTGTACTTTTTTTTTTTTTTTTTTAAATTCATTAAAATGCTGTATTGAAGGCTGGTGTAGAGAGACAAAGTCTAGGACAGGGATGGAAAAATGAATATGGAATTCAGCAGCAACTAATCTGTTCAATTCACAACCCAGCTGGAGCCAGCAGCATTGATAACAAATAGAGAGTGCCTTACTTTAAATGTTAGGAAGTTGTAATTTTTAAGGCGCTTTGGCTACCTGGCTTCTGAGATTTGTCCAGCTTTGGTCTAGGACAAGAGGAAAATTCCTGTGTTAAAATCTTGTAGCTAGATTTTCTTTTTTTCTTCAGTTTACACCAACTGCAGCTATAGGTTCTTTTGATCTTTTGCATTATTAACTAATCTACATTAATATACCGTATTGAACAAATATATTAAGTGTGTGTGTTTGTTTATGGATGTTACAAAATGCCCATCTGAGAAAATTTGTTTTTGCTGCCGAACTTCAGTAATAGTTTTTCAACTTATGATTTGTTTTATTGCCGGAATATACATTATGCAAGCAAAACAATACTACATCTCAAATTTGGAGTGTTAAACCCCCAAAATATTTAATTGAATGGGTTACTCTCGTTTTAAGGTCTTCAGTATAGGAGTGTTTTGTACAGCAAGCTCTTACAAAACATTTGCAAAGCTTTCAGCCAGATTCAGGACACTTTATTGAAGACTTTAAAGTGACTTTCAACTCCCATTTCCATATGTAATTCAGATATTAATGGGGATTTCTGTTGCTCTAAGTAAGTTATTAGTAGCTTGTTTAACATTATTATTCGTAGGCTTCAGCAGGCTGTTCACAAATTTCATGTTATGTTGAAGACTGGGTACAATTGCAAGGAAACATTTTGTTAACTGTCTTTTGATTTTTCTAGAGGATCAATCACTTTTTCTATTTAGGTTAACGTGATGTTCTCTTCAAAGCCCACCTCCCGGCCCAGTTATTCCCTGCTATGATATGCATATGTTGCCATAAAATACACAGTGATTCAAAGTATTGGAAGCGCGTGACCTTCTCCCTGAGTGGCTAGTCATCCTCCCCAAACAATTATCAACCCCATACAAGTTCCAACACAGAGCTTAACCAGGGTTTGAGACTGCACGGAAGCTGAGTAAAGGTGAGTCTGGATGAGTTTAAGAGACTGTTTTGCCCTGATTGTTAAAAGTGACAGTTTGTTTATTGTGATGAAGTATACCCTTAAATTTAGTTAAGTTGTCTTTTAAA